AAAAGTCCAAAACACAATTCTATGATAATTTTCAGATATCTGTAAATTGAATATTCTTCAATATAACAATGCGTAAAATATAAATAAAATAGAGTTTTTGCCAATAAAGGAGCCGATTTTTATTTTAAATATAGAAGACAAGGTCCAAATTGCGTTAACCGTCTAGATGTTCTTTGTCATTTTCGTCAGTAAAATCTCAATTAAAATTAATAAACGATATGACTTTTAAATTAAATCCCCCCGCGTGAACTATAATGGTTATCAATCCAGTTTTGAAAACATCGATGCTTAATAACACAAATGGTTTCGGGTCGATGTTTTATTAACATCGATGTTTTAATTAACAGCATTAAATTTCAAAAACCTTTTCATGTCATTCACAACATTTCATGATGTTTCATTCCACAATCGACTTCCCCTCCTCCATCGATGTTTTAATTACGAGTATCAAAGATTAAAAGCATCGCTGTTTTGTTGACGAAGTTACATTCCTATTACTAAGGTCGGTTTCTAATGAAAGTCATTTTTGCTTGTCACTTTAGGATAATGCCGTTTAGTAGAGAAATTCACTTTGTTATGACAAAAGGAAATGAACCTTTTTTATAGGTAATTTTTTTTTGTATTTTTCGTCGATTTCGACTAATAAATCATTGTTTACCTTTTAACCTAATTTTTAATGCATTTGTCGCTGATTTAATCGATTTTAATATAATTTTAATGGTACTTTAACCAATATTTACCAGGTGCAACAAATGTTCACCACAGAATTCTTGAGTAGCCTATTCGATTTCTTCACTCATATATCGGCTGTTGTGAGTGCTATATAATCTAAGGTTCTTGTGACGTTTATCGGTACTATTGTCAGTTCGGCGTATTTCGCGATAAATGAAGGCAGAGATTTTCTTTTAAAGAACAGTTCAAACCTGAAGTTTGCAAGCTGAGTTCACGTGAACAAAAGGAAGAAGCCTCGATTATATAAAATTAACGTAACCAACAGCTTGGGTTTTTGTTTTGATAAGTTTTTTACGTAATTTTTCTTTGTTTTTAGGGCATTTCAAAGCATTTATTGATCACTAGCGGACCCGACAGACTTCGTCCTGTCAAAAAGATTTGTAATAGCAATTTTAATGCTGAGTGGGG